CCCCCCCCCAGCAAAGCCCGGCTATTTTTTGGTTGCAGCCATCATTGTTGTTTGGTAGGCCCAGGCTGGATTCAAACCTGCCAGCTCAGGTGTATGTGGCTGGCACCTTAGCCACTTGAGCCACAGGCGCTGAGCCTGAAGCCTTTTTTTTAGAGGAATATACTGTTGTTAAAATAATTCGCTTTCTCAGGAGCACCACCCCTTTTTTTATTATTATGAGACAGCGTCTCACTTTGTTACTCTTGGTAGTGCGCTGTAATGTCACAGCTCACAGCAATCTCAAACTCTTGGGGTGAAGCAGTTCTCTTGCCTCAGCCTCCCAAGTAGCTGGGAGTATAGACGCCCGCCACATGCCTGGCTGTATTTTATAGACAAGGGTCTCCATCTTGCTCTGGCTGGTCTTGAACTCCTGAACTCAAGTGATCCACCCACCTGGGCTTCCCAGAATACTGGGATTACAGGCGTGAACCACTGCACCTGGCCCTTTTCTTTTCTTTTCTTTTCTTTTTTTTTTTGAGACAGAGCCTCAAGCTGTCCCCCTGGGTAGAGTGCCGTGGCATTACAGCTCACAGCAACCTCCAACTCCTGGGCTGAAGCGAGTCTCCTGCCTCTGCCTCCCAAGTAGCTGGGACTACAGGCGCCCACCACAACGCCCGGCTATTTTTTGGTTGCAGCCGTCATTACTGTTTGGCGGGTCCGGGCTGGGGATACGAACCCGCCACCTTAGGTGTACGTGGCTGGCGCCTTAGCCGGTTGAGCTATAGGCGCCGAGCCCATCACCCCTTTTCTTACCAATATCTGACTAATATCCTTTCAGCCCATTTTAAAATTTATTTTTAGACAGCCTCACTTTGTTACTCTTGGTAGAGTGCCCTGACATCATACCTCACAGCAACCTCAAACTCACCTTCTTCAAACTTTTGGGCTGAAGCGATTCTCTTGCTTCAGCCTCCCAAATAGCTGTCATGATTCGTGACTTTTTTTTTTTTTTTAGAAATGATGTCTCAGTATTCAATAAAAATTGCATGAAAAAAAAAGGAAATGATGTCTCACTTTGGCTTAGGCTGGTCTTGAACTTGTGAGCTCAGGTAATCCACCCATCTCGGCCTCCTAGAGTGCTAGGATTACAGATTTTTCTATATTTAGTAAAGACAAGATCAAGCTCTTACTCTTACTCAGGCTGGTCTCCAACTCCTGCTCTCAGGCAATTTTACCTGCCTTGGCCTCCTAGTGTGCTGAGATTATAGGTGTGAGCCACCCTGCTGGGCCAGAGACCCTGTCTTTAATTAAAAAAGAAAACAAAAAAACAAAGTTGGTTGGGCTGGGTGGCTCATGCCTGTAATCCTAACACTCTGGGAGGCTGAGGCCGAGGCCGGTGGATTGTGTGAGGTCAGCAGTTGGATACCAGCCTGAGCAAGAGGGAGACCCTGCCTTTAAAAATAGCTGGGCATTGGCTCAGCGCCTGTGGCTCAAGCAGCTAAGGCACCAGCCACATACACCTAAGGTGGCAGGTTCAAATCCAGCCCGGGCCCGCCAAACAACAATGACGGCTGCAACCAAAAAATAGCGAGACGTTGTGGTGGGCGCCTGTAGTCCCAGCTACTTGGGAGGCTGAGGCAGTAGACTCGGTTGAGCCCAAGAGTTGGAGGTTGCTGTGAGCTGTGATGCCACAGCACTCTACCCAGGGGGAAAGCTTGAGGCTCTGTCTAAAAAAAAAAAATACCTGGGCATTGTGGTGGGCACCTGTAGTCCCAGCTACTCAGGAGGCTAAGGCAAGAGAATTGCTTGAGCCCCAAGTGTTGGAGGCTGCTGTTAGCTATAATGCCTTGGCACCCTATGTCTCAAAAAAAGAAAAGAGAAAAGGACTGACTGAGGAGGGCTCACCCAGCACAGCTGTCTACTCTTCTCATACCAGAATCCTGCCCAGGACAAGGGTCAGCAGTGCTCATCTCCAGGCCTTTGGCAGCAGTTCTCAACTTGTTGATTGTGATCCACAGGAACTGTATTAAAGGGCTGCGGCATTAGGAAGGTTGAGAACCACTGGTCTAGGGGGTGATGACCCCGAACCCCAACCTGCAGGAGCAAAAGGGCATCTCGAAGCCAATCTTGTTCTTTCTTGACCCTAATGCTGGTTCTGTGGTTATGTGCAATTTATTTATTGAGCTGTATACTCAGGATTAGTTGACTTTTTTAAATTTTTTTTTAGACAGAGCCTCAACCTTTCCCCCTGGGTAGAATGCTGTGGCATT